ATTTTTTAAAATAAGTGAATTCGCGCTGCTTCAAACTTTATCGCCAAAAATCGCGCTTATTCCATATCGCTCAGATTGTCAAATGTTGATAATTTTTTAGGGAGTTGAATTCTAAGAGACTGTAACGAACTGTTCAGGAAAAGAAAAGAAACTGCAAGTCGTTATCTTGTGGTTACGTCCTTCACGAAGATGTTTAGTTGTTATTAGTGGCGGATCCAGGGGAGGGGCCCGGGCCCATACCCCTTATCTCAGGGTACGGATGACCGGACGATCCGCCACTGGTTATATTGTTTTAGGTCTTGTTTACAATTGACAGGCAAAAGACAAAAGGCCAGAAAGGTCAATGTAAACGCGACAAATCTATCACAAAACAGTCATTAGTGGAATATATTCCAATGAGAGCTTATATATTCCAATGAGAGCTCGTGGGTAGATTCCGGACAGATTTTACGTCATCAGTATAGAATTCCTGTCGCTAGCCAGACGTCTCTCCTGGCGAAACGTCCATAGTAGCGAGGAGCGAGGAGTGATGGCGGCTGTTTTCGCAGGCTACAGTGTTGATAGGCCGTGGCGAATTAAAAAAAAAAACAAAACAAAACAAAACAAAAATAAAAAGACACAAATCAAGAATTACCAAGTGGCGTGGATGTAGGAGCAGGAACAGTTGGAGTTGTCGCATACACGTTCGTTGGTGGAATCACAGTAACGTTCTGGTTGTTACAGTTGTCGCCAATACAACACTCAATGTTACAATCCAGCAAGGTCCAGTTTTGAGGTTGTGCTTTAAAAGCAGCTCTGAATTTTGCACAAGCTGCTGCTTTGTCTGCCAAAAAAGACAGGAAGTAAAGTAGTATTTCCCAAAAAGCGGCGCTTTATCGACGGAAGAATATATTGAAAAACAAATGAAAGTGAAAGCACAATAGAGATGGTGAAGTGCTTAAAATTTATTGGCATAATAGGAAAGTTAACATTCTCTAGCATTGTTGAACGTATTTTAGTATTTAAACGGTGACTTTTTAAAAAACTTTTCATCTGTTCCAAAAGTAGTAATAAAACTTTTTCGATGCATACCGGTTCTAGGTGGCGTAACCGTTTAAAATGGGTAATTATACAAAAATCCTAGGAGAGGCAGGGAAGCAAGAAATTTTACAACAAATGTTCCGAAAATTCTAGTTCTCAAATCGTCTTCCGAACAGATATTTTCGCGAAAATTTATAATATCAGTACATTTTGGGAAAAAATCTTACTATACTTTTCATATTATTTCATGGCTTTATAGAAGAAAATCAGATTTACTCTCGACAATTCGCTACGTTTTTCATCACCTGTTTGACCCCTGCCCCCACCCCCCAACCCCTTCCCCTAATTTTGCCAGATCAGCAGAGGAGGATTCAAAGGTAATATATAATTTCGTATCATCGGCATACAAATGAAAGTCAACGTTATGCTGTCTCATAATATCACCCAGGGGTGAAGTATAAAGCAGGAATAAGATAGGGCCAAGGACACTACCCTGGGGAACACCGTTAAGAAACTTACGACTGGATGACACTCCATCGTTTACTTTCACAGTCTGGTAACGGTCAGACAAATATGATCTGAACCACTGGAGTGCACAGTCAACGATGCCAAAACGATATGAAATACGATGCAAAAGAATCTGGAGATCAACTGTGTCGAACGCTGGTTAAAGATCCAATGGGAGCAGTATCACGCAGGAATCCCTGTCAATGGCTCGGAGTATAAGTATATCATCCTGAACTTTAATCAGTGCCGTAAACTTTGGCTTAAGCTGTTTTCTAAAGAATTCTCTTACCTTTGCAGTCGATGCATCCTCGTGCTATACCTGTGTGAATTACCTCGGACCCGTTCAGATACTTGTACCTTCCTGCTGCTGTAAAGCATTGCCCTTCTCCGATGCTGGGAAATTGTCGATAAGAACAAGGCAGTGAAATCTGGTTGCTGTTACACAACGCAAGATCATCACCTGAACCTGCATCTTCGAGGCAATGATAACATCTTTGACTGACTGCTGCCAAAAAAAGATTATGTCCAATCTTCTGTTAAAACATTCAGCTTAAAAGAAGTGAAAAACAAAACAAACAAAAAAACAAAAAACAAAAGGTATATAAAGAGTAAGGGGTGGCATATTTTGTTTCTTGTTTATTTGTTTGTTTGTTTGTTTTTTTTTGCGGGACGTCATTTTCCGCCGCGATTTCCACAGATTTTTAAGAACAATGCGCTAAAAATACTAATAAATACTAACATATATGTTAGACGTGCCAGAGAAAAGAAGCGGTATGCGGATCGAAGTATTTGAGTCGTCTGGTATGTAACATAAACGACGAAATGCTTTACTAAAACGAGGAGAAACGCATTTGCTTGACCATTTCATTGCTAGAGTAAATGACGAAGTCTCGTGAACGCTGGTTCACGGATCAAAAACCTATGGTGCGACCATTCAAATAATGAAACCTCTTTGAAAGTAATTTGAAAGTATTTTTACATGTTACTATTTTTTCAGCATTTTACAATATATGAATCAAATTTAGAAATTTGATTGTTTGAATTTTGACTTCCTAATAACCTGAAAAAAACAAGGCGAAAACAGAGCAACTGTATTCTGTTTTATTTATCTGTTTGATTTATTTGATTTTTAGTCACTCACATAACATATAATAAAACGTTACAAACGGTGTTGATTAAAATGTAAGTTAATATGACAAGGACGGCTAAATAAAGGGCTATTAAAAGGCTTCCTTAAGGTAAATTACTAGTTACTTACTTGAGTGCAGACTGTACAGAAAACATAAAACTTAAGCGACAAGACGACTATCATTGGTACTTAAAAAGAGGCTTGATGGTGATACGAATACAAACTATGTAACTTACGTGCATAAGACTGCGCGCGTAGCACTGAGGTTCAAGAAAAAATGAAGACGCAAGAAACAGCGGTGCTGGCGCTGCTTGTGCGCGAGTGCTACCTTTCACGCGCATCGGCTATCACGCAGCCCACATTTCTTTTGCGTCTCTGACATTTTGTACTTACCAGTGAGGTTCTGATTGTTACAGAGGTTGCCAAGACAACAGTCAACATTACAGGCTAGCAATGTGATGTTTAAAAGTGCATAGCTTGCATTTAAGGCTAAACAGAGTGCTTCTTTATCTGAAATAAAGTAACGATATAAAGACTATTGAAAGAAAAAATGTGTGATAAATTCACAATTAACCCTTCGCTTTTACTACGAAGTTTGACTAACCATAACCATTGTAATCATGGGTTATAGGAAACAAGGGTTTCGAGTAAATAAGGGCGCCTCAGGATTCGAAGAGAAGCTCGATTACCAAGACTTAAAGAATGCATATCGACTTCTGAATCGAAACAAAGTAACCATGTTTCCAGGATTTTGTACAATAAATAAACGGGCAAAATTGACATGAAAGGACGAAAATCTACTTCAATGTAAGTAATCAAAAGTAATCCAACTTTATTAAACAAAAATTTAACATTTCTTTAGTCGAAACCCAAGTTCCTTATAGCCCCTGTGGTGATATTCTGTCCAGGCATTGTATTTTCGTATTTTTCTGGATACCATTATGTAATGTAACTATTGTTAAACAATATTTTTTAGGTCCTGGTTTGATCTCGAGAAACAGTAACTAGTAATAGTTGACACTGAAAGCTGCCCCCTCTTTGTATGTAGTTGGTCAATTGTATATCCCGCCTTGATCTTCGTGCAGGTCTATTGAAATATACCGATTTTTATCAGATTGGATCTGGATTCATTTTAAAGATTTTCATATATGCTACATACAGTAGGTAAGATAAAAGCAGGCAATGCAAGATTCCATGCACTGCTTCAGGGCGATTTACGCAGCTTTATCAAAACACTCTAAACGTTTCGAGAATTTTTAGACACTCACGTTGTAGTCATATTTTTAAGTAAAACGGCAGTTAAGACAATACTTTGCATAAAAAAAGCTTCGTAGAGGGACATCTTTGAAAAGGGAATAGATCAGCACAGAAATTATTTCTCGGCGAATTTCTGCAATCGTCTACCTAGCGAGCAACGTCTACATTTCGCGGTGCCAGCTGCCGAGCGAAAAGGATTACGGACTATGAACTTCAGACTCCTCTGCAACCTACTCGCAGGGAAAAGTAATCTTCCATTGTTCTGCTGATAAACTAACGTGATTCACTCGTAGGTCGGCTTAGGAAAACTTGCTTGTTAGTGGACTGAGTCGTATATTCACGGCCCCAAAGTAATTCGCGTCTACAAAATTTGAATCTCTGCTGATCAAAGATTCGTGAATGATAAACCGGCGTGTCTGGCAAATCCTCCAGGAGCTTATACAGTTATACGCCCCTTATAACTTACATGTAAGTCCGTGCTTACCGTCTTTCGGTCCATAACACGATATTGTCTTTTTCGTGGTCAGTGAGTTTTTCATGCTTTTTTAAGAGAGCAACATGCCAAACAAGGTAGAAATGAAAATTTCAGTTTTGTTTTACCGTAGAGTTCCGATAGTAGCGACCCTCGTTACTTTCGGAATTAGCAGCCTTTGGGGGTCGCTACTTTCGTGGTGTCGTTACTTTCGGGGAAAAAAAATCGTTTACCAATAGAGCTGATGCGAGCTTTTTTCCCGAAAATAAGAAATGAACAACATAGCCCATAGTTTATCAGCCCCCGGCTTCTATATAGGCTTCCTTGCCTTTACCACATTTGATCTTGTAAATAATTTAGTTGCAATATTGTATATTATCTTTAATGTATTTCTGTATACTGTTGTTGTATTTCTGGTTAATGGCAAAATAAATGATTGGTTGATTGATTGAATTTAAAAAATAACAACATTTTATCTGCATTCCATATGTATAGATTGTGTTTTATTAAAAGAAGGTAACAATGATCAATACAGCAATACGGTAAATAATAAAATAAATCTATATCAACACCAATAAACAAATGAGACAAAATTCGTCTATCCAGTTTCATGTTTTAACTGCGACGTGGGTGGGCTCCGGATGTCTTCCTAGATTGTATTGTCAGTGGTCGGGACAGCTGTATTAGTTTGTCTCTCAGTTCTTTTCTTAGACTTCTAAGTCCTTTCTTGACGCCAATTCCATAAACGCAAGGAATCTCGATGCCTCCTCCTTGAACCCGTACACCTTCAGGTGCACTCCTGCTTTGGCCAGATACACGGCAAGTCATCTTGATTTCCTTTTCGAGCAATGGCTTGTACAGGACCTTCGCTAGACTATCAGTCACGTGTCCAACTGTAGTCGCATCTTGTTCGCCGCCGTTTGTGTTTTTCATCTTCTCCACTATTGCGTTATGTGAATATGCGTTGGAAGGCTCGGGAATGCAGTTGCAGACTTCATTAATTCGCGGATTTAAGCGATAGCAATGATCTCCTTTGATACGTGAAGTAATTGTGCATAATCGGCGGTAAATAGAAGCCATTGGTCATCAATTTTCACTTGAACAGTACACTTACCTGATGCTGAGGCGACGGTCTTGTCTCTGTATATTGTTGTGTTGACATATGAATGGATCGAAATCTACCAATCACAACCCAAGGACGTGACCTTTCGAACCCATGACACTTACCTTCTGTTGATTACATCTATTTCCCGCGACATCCACTAAAATGATAGACATTTGGTCACGTTTTCACGTGGCATGGAGTTCTCGTCTTTCTTCGGTGAAAATGTGGAGAACGTTTACCTATGTGGAAGGGCAACAAAATATCAATGTATACTATGTGAGACAACCGTTTGTGTTTTGTGTGCTCCCGAAATTCAGAATCCTGAAGATGAGCCAGAATATAAGCCCATGAGTAAGGTTGGAATTTGTAACCAATGCAACAATACCGCCATTGCCGGCTGTCGTGTTGAGACCGAGGATGAATTAGTGTTAGAGGATATGGAGGCTTCCAACGTAACCAGGCCAGTTCAGTTTGAAACAGAAAATGAGCATAGTTTAACCGGCGCAGTCTCCGGAGCCCTTAAGACAACAATGAACAGTAGCAACAAAGGTACTGATATCAAGGTCCCTGACAAGAGAAAGCAGTGGACAAGGGAACAAAAGCTCGAGTTCATAGATCTCTACAAGAAATACAAGAACAAGGCAAAGGCCGCTAAAGAGTTTAAAGCTCGGTATAAGTTCGAAGTGAAATATAATGCACATATAATCCATGGATCAACCAAGAACATAAACTTAGAAATTCAAAGTAACAATCGAAAAAGGCAGGAGCTGGTCGGTATGCAGCTTTCCGGACGTGGAGAAGAGATTATTTGAGGAATTCCAGGAACTACGTGGGAAAGATGTCAAGGATAAGTAATGGTGGTTCCGAAGTCGATGCAAACAGTTAATGGCGGAGCTGCATCCAGGAATGGAATTCAAAATGTCAAACCACTGGTTTGATCGCTTTAATCACGCTATGATATCAGCTTGCGGCGGCCAACAAATGCTGCACAGAAACAGTCTGAAACACTGCGTATAGTACTTCCTTTCAACAATTTCACAGATATCTCAGAAGAATGGCAACGGTTAAAGCAACTGAGCTGAAGGGTGTCCAGGAAGGTATTGTAGGTCCCTGGGCATTACGCGATATACGATATAGCTAATATGAATCAGACACCTCTGCAATTCTGCTTCAAAACGAAGGGAGCTACTTATGGAGAAAAAGGAGAAAAGTCAATATGGACTCGGACGACAGGTGAAGGCCATGATAAGAGACAGTGTACCGTTCAACTGACATATTTGCCGATGGTGAGCCTCGCATGAAACCCTTGTCGATCTTTGAGGGCACAGGACAAAGAATTCCAGACAGAGAAAAGAGGCAGTATGATCCAAGAGTCGTGGTCAAGTTCCAAGAGAACGCGTGGTGCAACGAGGAAATGACGGTCTTCTGGCTCAGAAATATGTGGAAGAAGCCAAACATGTCTGGTCAACCACACGACAGACTTCTTATCTTATTCATTTAATTGGAAGAAACACGTTAATGTTGATCGACGAAAATTATATAGAGTTTTCAATTTCAATTTGAAGGCACATTCCTGTTGTTAATACGAAATTGTGGCGGTTTTTACGGTAGTTCTTACATCGCTACATCGGTGAACTGATGTCAAGGACGAATGGGGGCATAAAGCTTCCCCTTGTTGTAAATTAAAGTGCCTTTTCGTGAACAATTTGGGATACCGCACGAACATATAATTGTACATTAAAATTTTGACTATTGATTGACAAATTAAAGGTGCACGGTATACAAAAAAACTTGGTCTCGCTGCTTTTTTTTTGGGGGGGGGGGCTACTTTCGGGAGGCGCTACGTTCGGGATTTACTGGCGGCCACAAAAAATTGACGTTAATTTGGGGGGTGGCTACTTTCGGGGAGTCGTTACTATCGGAACTTTAAGGTAATACTGCAGTCAAAACAGCTGCTCCACAGAATTTCACTGAACACACAGTCTGTATCACCCATAAATGTAATAATCATCCATAAATGCAATACTAATGTAATAAAAGTCAACCATAAATGTAATGAATTACTAACCATAAATGTAATAAAATTTTAACCATAAATGTAATAATCTGGCTCACCATAAATGTAATAAATTTTGACCATAACCGTAACAAATGGAAAATTATCATAAAATGAAGATTATGACTGCCTGACAGTTGCCAGATAAATGTTTTTATAATAGTTAAAGAGTATGTTTTTGTTATGAAAACCAGAGGGGATTGGGTGATTCGAGGATTGTTTTATTTCTACGTAAAATGTCGCCTGAGAGGAAAAACCGATACAGTCTGAGACCAAAAAGACAGAGGACTCAGTAAAACTATTTATGAAAGGGGGAGGGGGGATGTTGCATTAAAGTGTTCGTTTATTTATAACCTCTTGCTAGAAGAGGACACAGACCAAACAAACTTATAAAGTTGTGTAAGACGGTTAAACAAACATTTGTTTGTAAATTCTTCATATGATGAAGCATTTGAAGCATTTCTGATGAAGCATTTCAGCATTTCTACTCAGCATTTCAAGTCTCTGAAATTGGGACCTGCAGCCTAAATTACAGGTGCCTTCCTGTAAAATGGCAAGATATTTGAAAAGTTTACTTAAAAAATAAATGCGTTCTTAAAAATAGAAAGTAAATAGCACTTGTTTGTCATATTCAGCAGGCACGTTGAACTCGTAAAAATGGATGTGGCAGAAACTAGTCTTCTCTCACTACAAGCTCATCTCCTTATATTCCCATACGCGCGATTACAATCCATTTATAATAATAACTAAACCAAAAATGAAGTTCTGATCGGTCAACGGGAAAAGCAGTAAGAGCTTTATATATAGTGCCAACAAAGGTTATCAGGAGGGCTCCTGAAGATATACTATGCAATACCAAAGTTTCTTTGGAAAGGATAGCGAAGACACGTTAAATAAAAACACATGCAAAATTGGCTGACAGGCGGACAAGATTATTCTTAACTATGTCAATGGCTCATGTAATTTTATAACTTTCAAAACGTCACTGAGCTTGTGCAATAAATAACGAAATGTACTCGAATTCAAACGATTTCCAACACTTTTTACATTATTTTATGGCTAAAGTTTATAAAATTTATGGTGAGCCAGATTATTACATTTATGGATATAGAGGATATTACGCGGAGATACGAAATTTCTCTTCGAGTGTTGACAGCGCAGCGAACGAGTGAAATATTTTTTAAAATTTTATTACATTTATGGTTAGCAAATTATTACCTTTGTGGTAGGTTTTTATTATATTTATGGTGGGTATTACATTTATGGTTGACTTTTATGACATTTATGGTTAGTATTACATTTACGGGTGATACACGATCACGTATTAAAGGCAAGAGTATTGAAGTATGACTAAACAAAGAAAGTCAAAAATTCAACCCAAGCGGTCCTTTCGGGCATTCTCTGTCTTACGTCATCCTAATCATTTCTTACTTGCGGGTGTCGGACGGTTAGCATTAGTGAGTTTACGCAATAGGACAGCAAAAGAAGAGGACGGCAAAACGCTTGAGTCTGACAAACGTGACGGGGCTATTACTCGCGTGTTTTGTCGGGAATTCACTTAACATTGATTTTTTTGCTCTTCTACAAAAAGATCTGTCTAAAGGAATGTCAAGCTTGGCGGAAGGTTTTTTCAAACAAAATTATTGTCACGCTCGTCGCACAAGGTGTGCCGTCCTCTTTCCTCCCCCGTCCTGTGGCTTAAATTCACTATTGTTTAGGGCTAAAACGTCATCATTACTCAATGATTCCGTGCTGCCCCTGTTTAAGCAAATCGAGATTTTTTTCTGGTATACTAACTTCATATTCTAACTGTAAGTACTAATCTTTACATACGCGCCAGCTACAATGATTCCTAATCCCTGCGGAGCAATAATAATAATAATAATAATAATAATAATAATAATAATAATAAGAAGAAGAAGAAGAAGAAGAAGAAGAAGAAGAAGAACAGACTGGCCTTCTGACCATCGTAAAAGTTTTCATTGACGATATCCAAATGGAGTTTGGACTAGACAAATGTTGCAAAGCTAAATTCAAAAAAGGAAAACTTACCACAACAAAAAACATCCAAATTGACGTTGACACCACCATCCAAGAACTAGAGCAAGAAGGTGCATACAAATACCTGGGAGGGAATGAAGGGGACGGGATACAACACGCCAAAATGAAAGAAAAGATTAAAAAGGAGTCTTATCGAAGAGTACGAATGGTATTCTGAGCTCAATGCGGTTAATAGAGTGGAAGCCATCAACACACTTTCTATACCAGTCGTAGCTCACAGCTTTAACATCGTTGACTGGAAAATGGAAGGGATCAGACAACTAGATAGAAAAACGAGAAAATTACGCACCTTACAAAGGATGCACCACCCAAAAGCTGACGTAGATAGAATGTACCTTACCAATACTCCGTATCTAGCCAGGCTACAATGTTCAGAAGAGAGCTCAACCTCAATGAAATACTGGAACCTGAGATTGAAGCTCCAAATGTCTATGCCAGAAAAGGTAAACAGAAAGCAAAGCGCCATGCCCAAGATCAATTGAAACAAAAATGGGAAGATAAACCAGTGCATGGGCAATACCCAAAAAGAGTAAAGGAGACTTGAAGATGTGGACCATCAAATGACCAACCAATGGCTTAAGAGAGCTGGGTTCAAGCCCGAAACAGAGGGCTTTATCATTAATGCCCACGATCAGGCCATCAAGAGCAACTACTATAGTAGCAATTGCAAGATCCTAAAAGATGGTACAGATCAGACCCAATGTGCAGAATTTGTGGTCAATTTCAGGAAACTATTGACCATATTGTGGCATGGTGTCCTGAGCTGGCCAAAACTGAATACCTACACAGACACAATAAAGCCAAAACGTACACTGGAACTTACAAACATACATACTTTATTGTTACCTACCCAAAGGGGCTTTTCAGGAACAAAGAGATGAATATAGACACAAACCAGAAATGGTACGAACATGAGCCCCAAACAGTAACAGAAAAAGACAACATTACAATCTTGTGGGATATGCCAATACAGACATATCTTGAGATAAAGGCCAACAGACCAGACATTGTAATCAAGAACAAACAAGAAAAAAACTGCCTGCTCATTGATGTGTCCATTAATTAAAGTAACTGAAAAACTCTCAAAATACAAAGAGCTTGAAATCGAAGTTGAAAGAATGTGGGGGATGAATGCTACAACAATTCCGGTAGTGATAGGGGCTCTGAGACTAATTAAGAAAGGGTTGGAAAAATATACACAACAGATCCCGGGTAACATCAAAATACATGAACTACAGAAGATAACACTACTTGGAACACCTCGCATCCTAAGAAAGGCACTCTCCATCAAATAGACTTCTACCTCATTCTAAGCCTAAGCCGAAGGAATGGGCTCGGCTATTATGTTGTATTATGGTATTACATTAAAGATAATTTTAAAATTAAATTATAATTATCATAAAAAAATCTTCCAGAATCCTTTGAGGCAATTTTTTAAAAAGCTTTATCTTTATAACTTTGACTATTTTATTGTTTTTTTTTAGGTAGAAGACTGTCAGACCACAACAAGACCTTTTTTGCCATAAAATATTTTTCCACGTCACATCTAAGGTAATGACGTCATCAGTCACGTGACTATTGCCGAATTAGGTTTTTTTGTTGCTGTGACAAGATTTTATTAACGAGTTTAAAACAATCGGTAGCGCTCGATTCTCATTTTGTATTAAAAGACTTCGTTGGATGGGCATACTGAGAACTTTTTTTTTCCGTAACCTGTTCAGCTATATTTTTTCCCATGGTGGTGAGGCATGACCAAACGCAAGCTGCATGTCTGCGACTCCCTTCCCCTCCCTAAAAGACTCTCCATCCACCACTCCCCTAAAGTCTGCACAGCCGTACGCACGAGCGCTTGGGCGTACGCTGCCGTCGCATTGGTCTGTTACTTTTTTAGCAATAAGCAATACGACAGAAGATCCGTTAAAATTGATGGCTGAACTTTTTAGGCAATTATATGAAAAAAGCTTTACCTGTACAGTTTATGCATCCGCGCAACTCTATGGGAGTTGTAATAACTTGATCAACAATGTAGTACTTTAAGATTCCTTTAAACGAGTAACAGTGAAAAGGACATGGAAACACAAAAACGCCGCTACACGGGAGGGGACCAAATCCACTGCAGAAGATACATGTCGTTTGGTTGACAGCTGTTCAAAAAAGAAAAAAAAAACAAATAACACAACCATTTAAGCTTGTCACAAGCTTTCGTTATGTTAAGTCCCGCGAGACTTTTTCAGCGTGTGAAGCCACTGTGACGCGCCGCAGATTCTCGGTGGCATAGTAGCCTCATCTGTCTTCATCAAGAGGTAGTTGCAACGTGGAGTGTAGATCGTCTCCCCTTAACCAATCTGGTTCCATGTCAAGATCTACTACGTTTTCGGGCTGGAACTTGCGACCAGGCTTTCGAGAACTACAACCATCTCTTAATCGAGACGGAGGACGGGGGGAGATACCAACCACTGGGAATCTGGAACAATCTCCTGAGGTGTCTGCGCTTGCTCAGCGGCTTCACGCAAAGAAGACGTTTGGTTCGTACTTAACGGAAGCTTTGGGGTTAGATTCAAAACGTGTGCAGTCTTCAAAGTAACTATAAATCACTTGAGGTAACAAGGACAGTTGACAAAGGATTCTCAAACTTGGAAGATGAATCAAACAAAATCAGACATTTTCAAGAAGGTTCCTTTACCTTTCTACGAATCATAAGTTAATTCATGTTCAAAGCTTTGTTAAATCAACGAATCACAGATAACTCATATAAAGAAAAGATAAACTTAGCAACTTTGTTAAATCAGTGTTGAAACAAGAAAAAAGCTCTTCAATTGCAATGCAATGGCTCACTTAATTATAAGAAACTATACAAAAATAGGCCAAAACTTCCGACTGCATACTGTATTTAATTCAGGCTTTTATTTCCGGACAATTTCAGTTCCTCTGCGTTAAAATAGGAGACATGTTTCCTGCTTAAAGTCCCTCCTGTCTTAAATTTCCCCTGTACAAACGTCAATGTTAGCATGAAAGAATACAGAAGTCATTGCCAAAAAAACTGCAGTAAGTTTATTTGTCGTTATTTATGTCCACATGGATGTCGGAAAGAACCGTATTATGAAGTGCTGAAGTGGCGGTATACTTAAGATATCTTAGGAACCTAAAACTTACAGGTCACCAGAGCCGTTAATGAGCGCCCAGGAGCAAACGTATACGTGTATATACGACGTATTGGTTGGGGCGTAAGCATCTATGTTGTTCTCAAGTGTTGTTATGGAGGAAGAAAGTTAAATTATAGGAATTTCCCAAGGGCACCTGGGTGGACCCATATACGTGTACTCATCTATTGGAAGGACCATAAACCATGTATGCTTGTGTGCTGAGGGGTACGATGCAGTCATGTACATGTAGTCAGGTGTTAGTATAACCATGTACGTATTTACCCATGCAAAAAAAAAAAATGTGTGATCACACGTTTGATCACATGTGTGATTTTACGAGTGATCACATGTGTGATCACAAGTGTGATTTTTTATTAGAAGTGTGATTCACACTTTAAATCACACTTTTTCACATTTCAAATCACACTTCTAAGAAGTGTGATAAGAAGTGTGAACATGTGTGATTTAAAAGTGTGAATCACACAAAAAAGTTTTATAAAGTGTGATCAAATGTGTCACACTTTTAAATGTGTGATTTTAGTAAAATCCCACATCTTTTTCACACTTTGTCACACTTCTTCCTTGGATTCAACAAAGTGTGATTTTAATACCTTTTAATTAAATGATTTTACATTAAATTTTTGAGTGTTATTAAAATGCAGGGGACATTGCTTGAGGATTGTGCGGCTAAATTTTACCAGAAATACAGCCACACAAATATTCAGAACTTTGGTTCAATTTATTTTTTTATTACTCAATTCAACTGCCGTCCTAGTAAAGTTTAACAAATCCTGTGCCCTCTGCCAATGTCAAAATGTAATGTTTGATAAACAACTCATCTGTTGCAGAAACCACTGTCAGAACTCTGATCTGCAAACTATGAGCTGCTCGTCTCTGTAAGTCCATTTTTTTTTGCTTTGCATTGAAAGTCCCGTATCTTCCTTGCCTAAAAGCCACGGTACTTACCGTAAATACTTTTTTCTAGTTTTCCTCACTCTTGATCCAGTCTTTCCTCTTTTTGTAGGAGGAACTGCGCAAATACACAGCCTGAAATGAAATGGGAACTTGAATTAAAATTATCTCAGAAACTGTTTTAATGCATTTATATCATTTAATTTCCCTGGTGTACAACCTGCACCTCAAGAGTACAGATGTATTCAACTGTTAGCTTAATCATTAAGGTTAGTTTGAAGTTCTTGTTTTTGAAATATTAAACCACTGCAGTACTATATAACATCTATACACAGCTAAAGTGGGAATAAGTGTGATGCACTAACTATAATTTTTATGACAACAAAGTTCTGTCCTTTACATGATACGTGCACTGTTACTTATTTACATTACAACAATCTTCAGTGCATACAATGTTTCTGATCACGGAGTAGAAATTCTCAAAATCTGTGAACAGCGCTCTTTTCACAGGGTCAGAACCTGTGAAAAACCCTGTGAAATGGGAGTTTTCCTGGCAGCTGCATGCATCTTACCATATCCCCCCCCCCAAAAAAATACAATGTTGAAGTCTGATTTCTGCCCCTGCACTTGCAAGTGAACAACATTGATCAATTCATTTGTTGAGTGAGGGGAGGGGTCATAGAAGGATAAGTGTCCTGTGGGTAAGAAAGTACAAAACATATTTTGTTCAAGACTCTATATCCACATATGCAATTTTAAAAATAATCACTGAGGGAATTTTCAGTTGAAAGGCATGATTAAATGAAACAATAGACACCTTCAGCTCTCATATGAAACAAGAAAAAATAAATTGCATCCCGATTGAAGATGGTCTTCTTAACTTAAAAGATTTAGAGATACTCACATCAGTAGTCAGCGACTTCAAATAACTACAAACGTTTTTTTCAGATGAACTGGCATTGCTTGAATACTGTAAACTGAGTCCTTGATTCAGCTTGGCCATCGAGGCACAGGCATTTTTACAGAAGTCTTTATAACTGTTCATAAAAAAAGTAAGCATTGACATCTTTCTACCAAAGAGTGAAAAAGTATAAAGATAATCCATTTATTGAAAGGAAAGGACAACACTCACCTTTTCAGCCACTAGTCTCTGATTATTAAAATGAAATCTTCAGCAAGAAAAGGATCACAAATAGATGTAGGGAAAAATAAAAGTCTTGTTCTTCTGCTCTGTTCAGCTTTTACACGTCATCTCTATCTTTGCTGTGATTGAACAAATGAAGGGAGTCTTGGAAGCCGCGTTCAGAAATTCGCGCCAAACCGTCAAAACACGGGTGCTAGGATCCAGTCTTTCACCGTCCCGTCCGAGTGCGGCCATCTTGGTTTCTGAACGTTGGGATCGATCTACTCTTTTAGATCTTAATGTACATATGCTGATTTTTTTTTAACCGGTTAGGTTAATGAACAACATGTGAGGGACAACCATGAGTTCTGAACTGAGGTCAGTGTAAAAGAAACCTGCCTGAGCTTCGTCATCGCTTTGAGTTCGCAAGTGAAGATCGAAGTCAGTCTCCCTTTATAGATATTTTTACCGACTGTTTTACCTGTCGTTATATAGAAGCAGAAGCTCAATGCCCAATGGAAGAAAACAAAAGCTACGTTAAGCTGTGCAACAGTGACAACGGGGGCGTCGATAAAACCAGGAACACGGAACATTCCGGAACATGCCGGAACATCCCGGAACATGAAAAAATAAAAATAATTTTCATGAAAAAAAAAAATAGAAATAATAATACAAACATTAACAACAAGGGACTGCAAAGGACCGCAAACGAATATGCTGAAGAACGCGGGATCTATAAAGACCTGATCAGCAAAAATAATATTGTGGACATATTAAATTCTGCAAGCAGAATACTGCAATGCTGATCGCACTACGTGAAAGTTAACTCTGCAAGACATCAACACGACACCAAGAACTCAAAACGGAGCGGGATTGTAGCCATAGACA